GTCAGGAACAGGTTGAGAGAGGCTGGTTTACGTGCCAGAAGACCTTATTTTGGCCCTGTGCTTCGACAACAACATCGTCGACATCGAGTTCAATGGTGCACCAACGTTCAGGCCTGGAACCTACCGGATTGGCGTAGAATCTGGTTCAGTGATGAATCACGATTTCTATTTGAACGACGCGATGGAAGAATGCGGGTGTACAGACGTCGACGTGAACGTTTCGCCGACGCTTGCGTTCCCCAGGTGGACAGATTCGGCCGGGGCAGTGTTATGATGTAGGGAGCGATCACCTGCCGTAGGAGAAGTGATTTGGTGATGATCCAGGGCAACCTGACAGCTCAACGGTACTGTGACGAAATCCTACGCCCACACCTCCTTCCAATCATTGATCGCCAGAGGGAATTGTTTCAACAGGACAATGCCAGGCCCCACACAGCACGTCACACTATAGACTTCCTCCAGAACCACAACATCAATGTGCTCCCCTGGCCCTCAAGATCACCGGACTTAAACCCGATCGAACATCTGTGGGATGCCCTGGACAGACGGGTGCGACGCCGTAACCCTCAGCCCGAGACACTTCAGCAACTCGCACAGGCACTACAGGCAGAGTGGGCTGCGATTGGGCAACACGAGATTCTGAGACTTATTCGTTCGATGTCGAGGCGATGCCGTGCAGTTCTGGATGCCCACGGTGGTCACACGAGGTATTGACTTCAGCGCCACCACACGTCTCCATGTGACACTCAAACTGACTTTCCTCGAGTTGGTGCCAAAGACGGATAAGTCTGCATTCCCAGTGTGCAATTTCGCTATATTTCATTGACTCATAAAGCCTACAAGATGTTTCAAAATAAACATAAAAATACAGTTGAAATTCCTATATGCGTTTCTTTTTTGGGAGAGTATATATTGCGAGGGGCCTGTCATATTTGGTAGAAATATCATTCTGTCAACCATAAAATGTTAGGATTTAACAAAACCGCGAACGGTCAAACGTTAGTTGAAAAGCTTGGTAACAGTACATGCTGATCTAGGCATTCTTTGATTCTGCCAAGCACAATATAATGGATCAAGGCACCACAATGTTCTTCTTTGCAAAGGAGAGAGTGAGAGAATAACAACCAGCAAGTTGGATAAGTTGATCAGCACCACCTACGGCATCCGGAAACGAAGACATATCCTCTGTATTTCGTATCTTGAAAACATTACATATCTCTATAGTTTTAACAATTCAGGCAAAAGAAATTATGGAAATCATACAAACAGTTATTTCATGCCATTTAATTGATGCACGAATGCAAAAAAATGTATTTTCTTTAGATAACAAATCGTTTCAATGCCCAGTGGCTGTGTGGTTGAGGTGGTGGAAGTTTCAATGTTGACAAATTAGTGCCTGATTCTTAGGGTGTGGGTTCAAACCCCACACCCTAATATGTGTATAATGTAAAGAATGTCAAAATTGATAATTTGAAACTATTGTATAATTTTAAACAAGCTATAACTGAACCTACAGGAATTACTGACACAACTTGTTCACTGATCGATTTTATATTAACATGTCATTGTCTGACTAGTTCCTCTGGAGTATGTGACGTCGGCGTGTGTATGTTCCGTATTATGTGGGGAGAGGCATTATCACAGGCAGTTTTGCTTGTTTGCCAATCCCCCCAGAACCCTTTTATATGTAACAAAGGAAATACATATTGTGTAAACCAAATCCCGTATGGGACTCAACCAAAAAGTACTAGAATGGTTACTATTACATATTGTTATCCCAAATATATATAGCAGTGTTGAACTGAAGTATAATTCTAGTTGATATATTTGCTTTTGAATAAATGAAACATATACTGAGTCAAAAAGAGAAACTTCACAAAATGTAATTTTAAAAATTAATGAAGAATTTTTCTCTGATGATACATCTATGTATGCGAAATGGGATCCCTATCTTTCGACTCTAGAAAAACGTTAGCAAAACCCACTCAAACCCATCCATTCCTCGTGCAAATGACGTTAGTGACAAATCAGGTTTTGCACGTGCAGTCGATCACGTGATCTTCGCATAGAAGTTTTCTTCATATGCACGTGTTTGCATTGGCCTCAAGAATTGAAAAAAACACTTTTAAACCACAGTTCTAACGGTACTTGAAATGCCACGATTGTCAAATGTGCAACGTGAACGTGCAGTTGGCATGTTGCAAGCGGGAAGATCAGTTATTGACGTCGCAAGAGCAATGGGATGCAGCCGTCGTACTGTGTATGACTTGCGAGGTCGTCTACAACAAACTGGCACCACTTCTGATCGCCCAAGGTCGGGTCGTTCACGTGTGACGTCACGAGCAGAAGACCGTCAAATCGTCCTACGTCACCTACGTGACAGATTTCTGCCGGCTACACGAACCAGGGCTGAGATGTTTAGAGGTCGACTGTCCTCACAGACCATTCGAAATCGGTTGCGGGCTGCCAATCTCCATTCTCGACGTCCATATCGTGGGCCAATATTGACGCCGTTTCATCAACGTCAACGTCTGCTGTGGGCCCAACGTCACCTCCGATGGACCCAGAGAGACTGGAATCGAGTCGTCTTTAGCGATGAATCCAGGTTTACCCTCAGATTCGCGGACGGCAGGCATAGAGTCTGGAGACGACGTCGTGAACGATCGACAGATTCGGGGGCGGAAATTGCATGGTATGGGATGCTTTCTGTGGGAACAACCGTTCCCGACTTCTGGTCATCCATGGAAACCTCACAGCTGCTGCTTACCGCGACCAGGTGCTCACCCCTGAACTCGTTCCTTTCATGGCGGCTCATGGCCCAGGTCAACAGTTCCAGCATGATAATGCTCGGCCGCATACCGCGATGTTGACACGAAATTTCCTTCAAAACGCTGGAATCAACGTCATAGACTGGCCATCGAGGTCCCCTGACCTTAATCCAATAGAGCACGTTTGGGATGCACTTGGGAGGAGGCTTCGTGGTCTTAGGAACCAACCTCAGAATTTGCAGGAACTTGGCGCTGCCTTGCAAGAGCAATGGCGCAGAATCCCCAACCACGTGTTCACAAGCATCAGGCAGTCGATGAGGAGACGGTGTTTGGCAGTGGTGAATGCGCGGGGCGGCCATACACGATATTGAACTGAGAAATTTCGCATTTTTATTCTTGTGACTTGACATTCTGTATACCAATGTTTTGGAACGGCGGTGTAGCCTAATGGAACTGATTATGGCACTGTCAGTGTATCGAGTACATCACACAGATCTCAGCAATGAAATAATAACAATTTCACCATCTTACCATCTCTTGTTCTTTTATAGTGCCCTGAAGAAAGAATGTGAAGTTTCTTTTTTGACTCAGTATATATGACACTAAATGTTACCATCTAATGGTAATTACTGTATCCCAGAACTTTAAGCCTGTTCAAAATCGAAATTACGCAACGAAAATTGATGCTAGTTGTCAGCAGAAATGATTATTTCAATATTCACGATATATCTTATTGCTTCGCACTTCACTGATAAATGTTGCCAATGCATACTGTGCACATTTCTACATTTAAGCTCTGGCATATGGCATTTTGTTTGTTTCATTATGTTTATATATTTTTATTTTGGGTCTTCTTTTAAGAATTTGTATGTAGGATAGAATTAAAATGGTTATTGCAATGCATATCAGTAATATTCAAGATTCGCCCGTTCAAAACAATCCAGTGATTACCATCATGAGCATCGATCTACGCAATAGGCATACCATGTGTCGACCAAGTCAGCGAGCCTGACCACAAGATCCCGTTAGTCGCCTCTTACGACAAGCATGGGTTACCGAACATTAATTCTAACCAGGATCTTCACGGGTGAGAGGAATAGAAAATCCAGTCACTGTAAATACTGACCCCTGTCGTTCATCTGGTCATTGACTCTCCACTGTAAATACTGATTCCTGTCGTACAACTGGGCATTGAATCTCCACTGTAAATACTGATTCCTGTCGTACAACTGGGCATTGACTCTCCACTGTAAATACTGACACCTGTAGTACAACTGATCATTGACTCTCCACTGTAAATACTGACCCCTGTCGTACAACTGATCATTGACTCTCCACTGTAAATGCTGACCCCTGTCGTGCAACTGATCATTGACTCTCCACTGTAAATACTGACCCCTGTCATACAACTGGTCATTGACTCTCCACTGTAAATACTGACCCCTGTCATACAACTGGGCATTGACTCTCCACTGTAAATACTGACCCCTGTAGTACAACTGATCATTGACTCTCCACTGCAAATGCTGACCCCTGTCGTGCAACTGATCATTGACTCTCCACTGTAAATACTGACCCCTGTCATACAACTGGTCATTGACTCTCCACTGTAAATACTGACCCCTGTCGTACAACTGATCATTGACTCTCCACTATAAATGCTGACCCCTGTCGTACAACTGATCATTGACTCTCCACTGTAAATACTGACCCCTGTCGTACAACTGATCATTGACTCTCCACTGTTAGTTTTGATCCCTTTACTCTTCATTATGCACACCGATTTGGTCGGCATATAAATTGTTTTCTGTGGCATTCTGCATCTACATAGCATTAACTAATGACACGTGATAATGACTCAGCTTCTCTGCCAAACCCTGTCTGGTTATGGAGCTCACTGTGCGAGGTGACCGACTTATTTGCGGTATTGAAAGCTGGAATTCGTTCAAGGTCAACAACATTTTGAACGAATTGGAGAGGTGTGTCCCGCCCAGCCAATCAGTCGACAGGCCGTATAATACGCCACTCCCACTGTACTACGCTATTACATCCTCCCCACTCACGTTGTCGGGAGAACATTTTGAGGACGCATACTGTAACATTAACGATATCACTTATAGTATATATTATATCATTATCAAGTTCGTTGTCAGTACATCATCATCTACTGTGTTAGATGATTTGAAGCGAGAGTGTAAAACACAGCAGCACCTAACTCATTGAGTTTCAGCATACTGTCTACATCTCCTGTGTATATGCCGAGTACAGGTCGGGCATGTGTACACTGGCACGACTTAGCTGTCACGTTATATACAGAAGTAGGTGGACACTTATCTTCGCTATTCCGGCCATGTCAACAAGCTGTTTACCTCACACGTACCCAGATATTACCGTCTTCATTCAAATATCTAACCATTCTTAAAACTGAGATGCACAGCTGTGCACGTTGTATTCTGAACTGTTTACAACGACATGGGTGGCGACATCGCCGCGGTGAAGGGGGGAACAAACGATAGGTGCCTGCACTTAGCTGAAGCCCGGGGAGTTGTGCACTGTCTGTGACACAGTGTTTACATGGTGTACTACGACTTTGTTATCAACTTGTTTACTCGATTCTAACTCAACCAGTCCACCTGCAGCCAGTTTCGTCCAGTTTGTTGTTGATAGTACAAGAACGTGGTCTGTAGTCATAGTACCCGTGAAGGGAGACATCTGTATTGCTGCCTCTAGGACGGTCAACACAGGTATGTAGGCCGCCAGTGCAAATCAAGGGAGGATTGTATGGGACGGGATACTTGGGAACATAACGTCGGCTTGTTTCCTCTGTAGCCATGTGATCATGTAAGGTGCAGGAACTACACGTTGTGATGTAATCGTGAGGCTGGACACGTGTACATTATTGTGATGACATGACGGTAATGTGCATAGGTGTTGCATTATGATAAGGTGAAGCAGAGCAGACACGTGTTGCATTGTTATCACGTGAGGCACGACAGACACGTCTTGTATGGTTATCACGTGAGGCACGACAGACACGTCTTGTATTGTTATCACGTGAGGCAAGATAGACACGTATTGCATTGTTATCATGTGAGGCACGATAGACACGTGTTGTATTGTTATCACGTGAGGCACGACAGACACGTCTTGTATTGTTATCACATGAGGCAAGATAGACACGTATTGCATTGTTATCACGTGAGGCACGATAGACACGTGTTGTATTGTTATCATGTGAGGAATGGCAGACACTTGTATTGTTATCACGTGATGCACACCAGACACGTGTTGTAGTGTGATAAATGGACCAGTCGACGTCAGACAATGTTTATATCGATTTCTGTACATCCCGACGTGACGAATTGGTTTCTCTGTATTTCAGGTTTACTTTCAATACAGCATATCAGAGACTGGTAAAAAAGTTAGTCCCATAGATACATGGGTAAGTACTGAATGATTTAATGTTTTGTAAATGTTATTCTCAGATTGTTTTCTTTATGAGACATATTGCATGTTGTCCTTTTATTACAAGTAAGCACAGTGACATTAGTTCTTTGTTTCTACAGCTGTCACTCTTTGGCCGGTGTGTCTACAGCGCGAGTATCTCAATGACAACTGGGTGTGGGACTATCACACCAAACCCCCCGAGGTGCTGTTGTCATCCGACCTGGAGGACGCCTACTTCCATACAGACCCTGTCGACCAGAGTACAGGGACAGCCGGTACGTACCCTCAACCCCTTCAACCCGCACTGGGTTAATGGCACGTTCAGTTTAGAAGCAGTTGTAGCATCCCAGTGCCGTCGCCGCTGCTGTCTCTGCGTTACACCTTGTGTATTAGTCATGAACATGCGTTACTGTTATCCGTCCGTGGCAGCAGGTGCTGTATTGCCGTATGTAGCTAGTTGGTACACATACAACGATTTTATTCATACAGATTCTGTCCTTGTACAGCGTGTTTCCCTGTGTACACATACTGTGTCTGTTCGTATAGGCGTCCGTGGCAACAAGGGTTTTCTAGATGGGGAACATTTCTGGGAGATCATTTTTCTGGAGCCGCCAGCAGGCACTTCCGTGATGGTGGGCGTGGGGACACAGAAGGCCCTCCTTCACACCAACAACTACCAGTATGTGGATCTCATAGGTACGACTGGCTCCTGCACTCACATTTCGACATTGGGTCATAACCTTCTGGAAGGTGTGCCATAGTGTTTCATAGTCAAAGTAAATATACATATAGCTGAAACCCAACGAGTATCATCAGTGTGTAACACGTCCCTGTGTCATACTTTCGATAACATCTTGGGGACATGCGTGTTCCAGTATAAGCTGCAGTTCGCTGTGCAGCGTTGCACCCATTACTCGTGCTAGAAATCTATGATCATGAGTTCAAATCCCGGTTCTCCAGGAAGCCTTATCTGGGTTAGTCAGCTTCCATCCCGTTCTTGTGGGGCTATAAAGGTGGATGTGTACCGTGTCCGGCGTTCCTCGCACAGCAACCTGATAACCCGTGATACAACTGATAGTGTTAAACTCGTTATCATATCATTGACGTCATTAAATTCCAGGAGAGTCAACATGAATTAACTGCGCCTGAAACAGGAACGGCCAAAAATTTCGTTGTTTCTTTGACAGATGTATTACACTGTGGAAAGTGCTGGAACATTCTTGTGACACATTCATAAATGTATACAGTATCCTTGCTTTTCAGGTATGGATGGAGAGAGCTGGGGCCTGTCCCACAAAGGGAGAGTGTGGCACCGCGGTGTTCCACGAACGTACTGTGACCCAATATATGACCGCACTACTGTGATCGGATGCTATCTCAATCTGTATAAAGGTACTCTTAGTTTCTACAAAAACGGCACGGACCTAGGTGTAGCATTCAGTGGACTTGACACTGTGAGGGAGCCCCTGTACCCACTAATCTCCTCCACAGCAACAGAGACGGAGCTTGGACTGGGAGTGAGATCATGCCGCTACCTCTCTCTACAAGAAAAGTGTTGTGCAATCATCAAGAACAATCTCATGTGTGCGGACTCAGTTGAAAACCTGCCGCTGCCTAATGCGATCAAAAACCACATCCGGCAATTCTAACTCATGTTTTGTCATTATCAGGTAGTGTGTTTAAAATAGTGTTGCCATGTGTGTGAATGTGCGTGCGAGTGTGCGTGCGAGTGTGCGTGAACAGATTCTCGTGCAGGCTGTACGTGAATAGGTGCGTGTTGCTGTTCGGGCGAGTGAAGCTGACAGAGTGAATTACCTCAGGTTACACAAGTGTTCGGAGTGGGTGTGTACAGTTTACATATGACTGGTCGTTTCGGTGATATTTCTGTAGCTTTTAACAAATGTACATAGTAGGTTTTGTACAAGTATCATACTCTCGTGACATGATCCCGATAATCAAAATAGTTATCACTGGATTTTCTGGTTCAGACTCTATTGTTCAGGCTGTCGTATAGCTGTAATACTGCTGAGTGCGGCGCTACACGACATACAACGAACCAAAGAAACCATTATCCCGGTGTAAGACAGTTTGTTGATTACTCACATACGACTGATTTTTCGGTTACCTCAGACACTCGAGGACGATGTTTTTGCTTCGGTTTTGTAATAAATATTTACACATCTACGTGTTTGTCTGACTGGTTCTATTAACAAATAAGGAAAGGAACGTGTATGCACTAATGGACATGGCTCGTAAAGATACCGATACATGGTTGTCCCAGTGTATCATCGTACACGTACCTTCACATGATTGTCCCAGTGTATCATCGTACACGTACCTTCACATGATTGTCCCAGTGTATCATCGTACACGTACCTTCACATGGTTGTCCCAGTGTATCATCGTACACCTACCTTCACATGGGTGTCCCAGTGTATCATCGTACACCTACCTTCACATGGTTGTCCCAGTGTATCATCGTACACCTACCTTCACATGATTGTCCCAGTGTATCATCGTACACGTACCTTCACATGTCCCAGTGTATCATCGTCCCCTTCAGTGTCCCATCGTACACCTACCTTCACACATGTCCCAGTTTTCACCTTATCACATGATTGTCCCAGTGTATCATCGTACACGTACCTTCACATGATTGTCCCAGTGTATCATCGTACACCTACCTTCACATGGGTTGTCCCAGTGTATCATCGTACACGTACCTTCACATGGTTGTCCACATCGTACACCTACCTTCACATGGTTGTCCCAGTGTATCATCGTACACCTACCTTCACATGGTTGTCCCAGTGTATCATGATTGTCCCAGTGTATCATCGTACACCTACCTTCACATGATTGTCCCAGTTTATCATCGTACACCTACCTTCACATGATTGTCCCAGTGTATCATCGTACACCTACCTTCACATGGGTGTCCCAGTGTATCATCGTACACGTACCTTCACATGGTTGTCCCAGTGTATCATCGTACACGTACCTTCACATGGGTGTCCCAGTGTATCATCGTACACGTACCTTCACATGATTGTCCCAGTGTATCATCGTACACGTACCTTCACATGGGTGTCCCAGTGTATCATCGTACACGTACCTTCACATGGGTGTCCCAGTGTATCATCGTACACCTACCTTCACATGGTTGTCCCAGTGTATCATCGTACACCTACCTTCCTTCACATGTATCATCGTTGTCCCAGTGTATTGTATCATCGTACACGTACCTTCACATGGGTGTCCCAGTGTATCATCGTACACCTACCTTCACATGGTTGTTGTCCCAGTGTATCATCGTGTATCATCGTACACATACCTTCACATGATTGTCCCAGTGTATCACCGTACACCTACCTTCACATGGGTGTCCCAGTGTATCATCGTACACGTACCTTCACATGATTGGTTGTCCCAGTGTATCATCGTACACGTACCTTCACATGGTTGTCCCAGTGTATCATCGTACACCTACCTTCACATGGTGTCCCAGTGTATCATCGTACACCTACCTTCACATGGTTGTCCCAGTTTATCATCGTCCCACCTTCACATCATTGTCCCAGTGTATCATCGTACACCTACCTTCACATGGTTGTCCCAGTGTATCATCGTACACCTACCTTCACATGGGTGTCCCAGTGTATCATCGTACACCTACCTTCACATGGTTGTCCCAGTGTATCATCGTACACCTACCTTCACATGGTTGTCCCAGTGTATCATCGTACACCTACCTTCACATGGTTGTCCCAGTGTATCATCGTACACATACCTTCACATGGGTGTCCCAGTGTATCATCGTACACCTACCTTCACATGGTTGTCCCAGTGTATCATCGTACACGTACCTTCACATGGGTTGTCCCAGTGTATCATCGTACACGTACCTTCACATGGGTGTCCCAGTGTATCATCGTACACCGTACCTTCACATGGGTGTCCCAGTGTATCATCGTACACCTACCTTCACATGACCTTGTCCCACCTTCACATGGTTGTCCCAGTGTATCATCGTACACGTACCTTCACATGGGTGTCCCAGTGTATCATCGTACACGTACCTTCACATGGGTGTCCCAGTGTATCATCGTACACGTACCTTCACATGATTGTCCCATCGTGTATCACCTTCACCTTCACATGGGTTGTCCCAGTGTATCATCGTACCCACGTACCATCGTACACATTCACATGGGGTGTCCCTTCACATGTGTCCCAGTGTATCATACGTACAGTGTATCATCATACCTTCACATGATTGTCCCAGTGTATCATCGTACACGTACCTTCACATGATTCACAGGTCCCAGTGTATCATCGTACATACCTTCATACCTTCATCATGGTACACGTACCTGTCCCAGTGTATCATCGTACACGTACCTTCACATGGTTGTCCCAGTGTATCATCGTACACGTACCTTCACATGGGTGTCCCAGTGTATCATCGTACACCTACCTTCACATGGTTGTCCAAGTGTATCATCGTACACGTACCTTCACATGATTGTCCCAGTGTATCACCGTACACATACCTTCACATGGGTGTCCCAGTGTATCATCGTACACATACCTTAACATGGCTAGGCTGCTCCATGTCCTAGGCTGCGAAGCGGGCAAGGATCTAGCCGGGTCATCCTGCCCCGGGAGGGAATATTTTTTAAATTAGACGCTCTGAGATGGAATTTCCCGCTATCTGAAGGCAAAACGACTCCATTTATGCAATCTCCAAATTTGTATAACATGTATTCTTTTCCTGCTACGTCTGACAAATGTTTTCCACGTTTTTAAAAAGGTTTTTTTTGTTCTTAATTGTAGCATCAGTACATACTGTGCTGAACTAAACTAATGTAAAACAAATGTTTCGTTCAGTTTAAGTATTGATATACAATACTTGTATTATTAAATTCAGTTGACAGTCCAGAAATCTTACGTGAAATTTACATCACATACATGATATCTTCAGGTTTGTTCAATATCGTGGATTGAATGCAATCTTTTTCTAATTAAGTCTTTTGTTCGTTAATTATCATTAGGCATTGTCAGGTGGGCTGCCCGCAATCTTTGCGTCATAACTTGGAGGTGTGGATTTCAGGGCTGCGGTGAGGGTATACAATGTATGACACTCAAAAGAGTTTTTATGCCAATACTTTGATGTACATAAAATGATCTGTAAAAAACTTCTACGGTAGCAGCTGCCCCCTGCCTCCCTGGGCTACCTACGGCCCTGATTATTCTGAATCGCCCTCGCAGAGGTACAAATAGTCAAAGGAACAGAACATGTAAAAAACATCAAACATGACCTGTATAAATAACCGTTATTTAGCACAAGTTCATTCCAACAGGAAATGATAAATTAATATGTTAAAAAGTGCCCTTCCGGCTGTATTGGGCTCCAACACGCTACATGGTTCAATTTGTCGGGCACTTTTAGAATTTGACCATGCATCTGTTTAAAAGCATTTTCTGAAAGAATTTGAAGTATTGTTGATAGGTTGCATTTGTATTTTAGTTGTATTTTCTGCTTATATTTATTCATTTGTCATCAATGGAGTGTTTGATTGTTCAGTTGGTAAATCTGTCCTGTGTCATCGCACAATGGTTGTTGTGTACCGATATTTTGGTTATGATTTACATAGCGAAACATTGTTTCATGCTTTGGACACAAGTATGCCTTCTTTGTGGCAGACTTACAGCTGGGCCACCACCTTCAGGTGACCAGGTAGCGTGTCAGAGTTGGGTCACGCACATCTGGATGATGTATGGACATGTATTGCCAGTTTACTTTCTTTTGGAATCAGATCTGCAATAAATGTTTATCACAATGTTTGTTTGCAATCGCACAGGTACAACCTCTCGCCTTCTTCTCATCATTTTGTACTCATCTTATTTCTGGAAACGTGTTTTACAACTATAAAATGATGTTCCTCACTGGATTTGGACCAAGTGTTCTGCCATGTATCTAAAGATTATACAAATTACTCAACACATCTTTAGAAAATATTGTATTTATTTACATCGACAATACTTGACTGTTTGTCGTTATCTTGAATATATTTTAATATGAAATCTGTATGGGTATTATTTCGTGCTCTTGTGAGGTCACAGAGTGGGGCTTAGAATCAGTTGCTCGGGTCAATGACAATTTTGCACGCTTTGCCACTGAACAGAGCCGTGAAAGCCTCCTCAAACTTGGACATTGGAAATTTATGAGAAATAATCTTGTTGACATCGATCTTGCCGTCTGCGACTAAGTTCTCTATCTCGCCCCAGGTATGGTAGATGAGCCGCCCGTGCACAGTCTTCAGAGTCAGCGACTTGAACACTGCAACCAAACGTCACCTTCACAATGTCACAGAAAGGGCAGAACAGCTGTTTCAGTGAAACACTAAGCATTATTATCTACATATATTCTAGAGTACATTCTGTACATAAAGCTGTAGACCGAGTTATGTATAGTGACGTAACCTACTTATATCCAGCAGAACATTATCTACCTGGAGTTATGTATAGTGACGTAACCTACTTATATCCAGCAGAACATTATCTACCTGGAGTTATGTATAGTGACGTAACCTACTTATATCCAGCAGAACATTATCAACCTCGAGTAATATATAGTGACGTTACCTACCTCTATCCAGCAGAACATTATCTACCTCGAGTAATATATAGTGACGTAACCTACCTATATCCTGCAGAACATTATCTACCTGGAGTTATATATAGTGACGTTACCTACTTATATCCAGCAGAACATTATCTACCTGGAGTTATGTATAGTGACGTAACCTACTTATATCCTGCAGAACATTATCTACCTGGAGTTATATATAGTGACCTAACCTACCTATATGCAGCAGAACATTATCTACCTCGAGTAACATATAGTGACGTAACCTACTTATATCCTGCAGAACATTATCTTCCTCGAGTTATATATGGTAGCCTAACCTAGCTATATCCTGCAGAACATTGTCTACCTGGAGTTATATATAGTGACGTTACCTCCCTATATCCTGCAGAACATTATCTACCTGGAGTTATATATAGTGACGTTACCTACCTATACCCTGCAGAACATTATCTACCTGGAGTTATATATAGTGACGTTACCTACTTACATCCAGCAGAACATTATCTACCTGGAGTTATATATAGTGACGTTACCTACCTATACCCTGCAGAACATTATCTACCTGGAGTTATATATAGTGACGTAACCTACCTATACCCTGCAGAACATTATCTACCTGGAGTTATATATAGTGACGTTACCTACCTATACCCTGCAGAACATTATCTACCTGGAGTTATATATAGTGACGTTACCTACCTATATACTGCAGAACATTATCTACCTGGAGTTATCTACCTGGATATATAGTGACGTTACCTACTTACATCCAGCAGAACATTATCTACCTGGAGTTATATATAGTGACGTTACCTACCTATACCCTGCAGAACATTATCTACCTGGAGTTATATATAGTGACGTTACCTACCTATACCCTGCAGAACATTATCTACCTGGAGTTATATATAGTGACGTTACCTACTTACATCCAGCAGAACATTATCTACCTGGAGTTATATATAGTGACGTTACCTACCTTTATCCTGCAGAACATTATCTACCTCGAGTAATATATAGTGACGTTACCTACTTATATCCAGCAGAACATTGTCAACCTCGAGTTATATATAGTGACGTTACCTACCTATATCCAGCAGATCGTCACGCCGAGGAACCGGGTTCGAATCCCCACATGGGTACAATGTGTGAAGCCCATTTCTGGTGTCCCCCGCCGTGATGTTGCTGGAATATTGCTAAAAGCGGCGTAAAACCAAAACTCAGTCAGTCAGTATATCCTGCAGAACATTATCTACCTTGAGTTATATATAGTGACGTTACCTACCTATATCCTGCAGAACATTCTCGACGTGGAGGGGCTGTTTGGGCAGACCAACCATCACAATACGACCGCCCTTCCTGAGCAGGGAGAAGCTAATGTTGACCATAGGTGGCGCTCCACTGCACTCACACACCCGCCCCATACCCAGGCCGTCAGTGGAGCTCTCTACAAACTGATGAAAGGTTTACGTTAGTCTATACAGTTATATGTTGTGCTCATTTGTTATATCTGCAAACTAACTACACAGGGGTTTTAGGCTGACTAAACTGAGCCAATGTCTGTAGGCGGCACATAAGTGTCCTTGGCATTAAGGCGTTCCAGCCATTCCTGCTGTGACGAACTCACCTGTTTGAGAGACGTGTTGAGAGTGTTGACAGTGACCTCGGCGCCCATGCTTTTAGCCAGTTCTAGTCTGGAGTCGTCAATATCAGCCCCGGTTATCCTAAGAATATAACGATACACGGCATAACAAACTGTGACTTTTAAATATGACACATTACATGAGGTACAGAGGTCAATCGCCACCACAAATTGTGGCGCATCAGTTACGAATCTGAGGCATTAGTACATGCCCTACATATCTGGTCTTGATGAGGTATCTAATTTAATGGAGGCATAGGCTAATTATGGGAATTTCAAAGAGTTAATTCCGAATAGTATTTACAACCTGTGCCTTAAACTAAGGGACCGTTCATAATTTATGGCTAGGGGGTGTGGGGTGGGGGTGTGTGATGATGACTTTAGGGGGTCGGGGGGTTTCACCCATTTTGTTCTGGGGAGGTAGGGGGCATCAATTTTTGTACACATGTTTCCTGGGGGTGGGGTGGGGTGGTCAGCAATTTTGTACATGAAAATATTTTAAAATTATGCTTAAAATTTTGGAAGGGGAGTCATTCATTTTGTACATGACATGCAGGGGGGTGGTGGGGTTTACTTTGTACATAAATTTTAGGGGGTCATTCACATTGTACATGCTTCTCCATAAAAATTATCATCACAAGACGCCATCACTAGATATAGGGAGGACCACAGCAACACAGGACAATGGGCGGTACAAGATGAGGTGGGCGCTAGCGCCATCACTAGATATAGGGAGGACCACAGCAACACAGGATACAATCACTGGAATGAGGTGGGCGGTAGCAACACAGGACGCCATCACTAGATATAGGAGGACCACAGCAACACAGGATACAATCACTGGAATGAGGTGGGCGGTAGCAACACAGGACGCCATCACTAGATATAGGGAGGACCACAGCAACACAGGATACAATCACTGGAATGAGGTGGGCGGTAGCAACACAGGACGCCATCACTAGATATAGGGAGGACCACAGCAACACAGGATACAATCACTGGAATGAGGTGGGCGGTAGCAACACAGGACGCCATCACTAGATATAGGAGGACCACAGCAACACAGGACACAATCACTGGAATGAGGTGGGCGGTAGCAACACAGACGCCATCACTAGATATAGGGAGGACCACAGCAACACAGGATACAATCACTGGAATGAGGTGGGCGGTAGCAACACAGGACGCCATCACTAGATATAGGGAGGACCACAGCAACACAGGATACAATCACTGGAATGAGGTGGGCGGTAGCAACACAGGACGCCATCACTAGATATAGCAAGGAGGACCACAGCAACACAGGACGCCATCACTGGAATAAGGTGGGCGGTAGCAACACAGGACGCCATCACTAGATATAGGGAGGACCACAGCAACACAGGATACAATCACTGGAATGAGGTGGGCGGTAGCAACACAGGACGCCATCACTAGATATAGGGAGGACCACAGCAACACAGGATACAATCACTGGAATGAGGTGGGCGGTAGCAACACAGGACGCCATCACTAGATATAGGGAGGACCACAGCAACACAGGATACAATCACTGGAATGAGGTGGGCGGTAGCAACACAGGACGCCATCACTAGATATAGGGAGGACCACAGCAACACAGGATACAATCACTGGAATGAGGTGGGCGGTAGCAACACACAGGACGCCATCACTAGATATAGGGAGGACCACAGCAACACAGGATACAATCACTGGAATGAGGTGGGCGGTAGCAACACAGGACGCCATCACTAGATATAGGGAGGACCACAGCAACACAGGATACAATCACTGGAATGAGGTGGGCGGTAGCAACACAGGACGCCATCACTAGATATAGGGAGGACCATAGCAACACAGGACGCCATCACTGGAATGAGGTGGGCGATAGCAACGCAGGACGCCATCACTAGATATAGGGAGGACCACAGCAACACAGGATACAATCACTGGAATGAGGTGGGCGGTAGCAACGCAGGACGCCATCACTAGATATAGGGAGGACCACAGCAACACAGGATACATCACTGGAGAGGTATAGGCCATCACTAGATATAGGGAGGACCCACAGCAACACAGGATACAATCACTGGAATGCAGATATAGGAGGACCACAGCAACACAGGATACAATCACTGGAATGAGGTGGGCGGTAGCAACACAAGACGCCATCACTAGATATACAATCACTGGAATGAGGTGGGCGAACACAACACAGCATCACTAGATATAGGGAGGACCACAGCAACACAGGATACAATCACTGGAATGAGGTGGGCGGTAGCAACACAAAGACACCATCACTAGATATAGGGAGGTGGGATACAATCACTGGGTACCACAGCACGCACATTAGATATAGGGAGGACCACTGCAACACAGGATACAATCACTGGAATGAGGTGGGCGATAGCAACACAGGACGCCATCACTAGATATAGGAATGAGGAATGAGGTGGGCGGTAGCAACACAGGACGCCATCACTAGATATAGGGAGGACCACAGCAACACAGGATACAATCACTGGAATGAGGTGGGCGGTAGCAACACAGGACGCCATCACTAGATATAGGGAGGACCACAGCAACACAGGATACAATCACTGGAATGAGGTGGGCGGTAGCAACACAAGACGCCATCACTAGATATAGGGAGGACCACAGCAACATAGGACGCCATCACTAGATATAGGGAGGACCACAGCAACACATGACGCCATCACTGGAATAAAGTGGGCTATAGCAACACAGCACGCCATCACTAGATATAGGTAGGGCCATAGCAACACATGACGCCATCACTAGATAACGTGGGCGATAGAGGAACGCAGGACGCCATCACTAGATATAAAGGGGCCACAGCAACACAGGATACAATCACTGGAATGGCGGGTGGCGAAGTAGCACACAGGGACATCACTGGAATACCGGATATTGGGAGGGACGATAGTAACAGGGAGGGCCATAGCACAATACTACCGGATACTTGGAGGGCGATAGTAACACCGGACAATACTACCGGATATTGGGAGGGCGATAGTAACACCGGACAATACTACCGGATATTGGGAGGGCGATAGTAACACCGGACAATACTACCGGATATTGGGAGGGCAATAGTAACACCGGACAATACTACCGGATACTGAGAGGGCGATAGTAACACCAGACAATACTACCGGATATTGGGAGGGCGATATAGCAACAGAAGACAATACTACCGGATATTGGGAGGGCAATAGTAACACCGGACAATACTACCGGATATTGGGAGGGCAATAGTAACACCGGACAATACTACCGGATATTGGGAGGGCGATAGTAACACCGGACAATACTACCGGATATTGGGTGGGCGATAGTAACAGCGGACAATACTACCGGATATTGGGAGGGTGACAGTAACACCGGACAATACTACCGGATATTGGGAGGGCAATAGTAACACCGGACAATACTACCGGATATTGGGAGGGTTATAGCAACAGAAGAGAATACTACCGGATATTGGGAGGGTGACAGTAACACCGGACAATACTACCGGATATTGGGAGGGCAATAGTAACACCGGACAATACTACTGGATATTGGGAGGGTGACAGTAACACCGGACAATACTACCGGATATTGGGAGGGCAATAGTAACACCGGACAATACTACCGGATATTGGGAGGGCAATAGTAACACAGGACAATACTACCGGATATTGGGAGGGCAATAGTAACACCGGACAATACTACCGGATATTGGGAGGGTGACAGTAACACCGGACAATACTACCGGATATTGGGAGGGCGATAGTAACACCAGACAATACTACCGGATATTGGGAGGGCTATAGCAACAGAGGACAATACTACCGGATATTGGGAGGGCAATAGTAACACCGGACACTACTACCGGATACTGGGATGGCAATAGTAACACCGGACAATACTACCGGATATTGGGAGGCTGACATTAACACCGGACAATACTACCGGATATTGGGAGGGCGATAGTAACACCGGACAATACTACCGGATATTGGGAGGGCGATAGTAACACCGGGCAATACTACCAGATATTGGGAGGCTGACAGTAACGCCGGACAATACTACCGGATATTGGGAGGGCTATAGCAACAGAGGACAATACTACTGGATATTGGGAGGGCTATAGGAACAGAGGACAATACTACCGGGTATTTGGAGGGCGATAGTAACACTGGACAATACTACCGATAGTACCAGCGGACAATACTACCGGATACTGGGAGGGCTATAGCAACAGAGGACAATACTACCGGATACTGGGAGGACTATAGCAACAGAGGACGCCATCATTAGATGTGGTAAAGGCAATAGCAACACAAGATATCAGCGGGTTCGAGGAGGGTGATAATAACACTGAGCACCATTGTGTGAGGACGTGGTTACGTCACCTTTTAGCACCAAGAGCCTTGGCTGAAGCTATAGCAAGGAGTCCCACAGGACCACAGCCAATGACAAGTACATCTTCCCCTTTCACATCCAGCTTCTCTACTGCATTATGGGATACCCCTAGGGGTTCCAGCAGGGCGATCTCATCTGCAGCTGGGTCAAAGGAACAAAAGATACACCAGGTCGCTAAAATGATTTGAATATAGTGGCATGTCAATCCAACGTTTCCATAAAGCTAGAACTATTTGCTCGTCGTCATTACACTTGTGAATTGTAATTATACAAGTTACTCATTACTTACTGCTTTAAATGATATTAACCACAGCAGCAATTCATCCCGAAAACAGTACTAGGATAATGTGTGTATACTGACCAGATAATAATATCCTGAACAGCAAAAGAAGTTTTCAAATAAATGAAAACATAAGGCATAAAATATACACACCTTTTAATTCATTTTTCTGACATGTCAAACAAGTGTTCACAACCATCAACCCGTTTGCTTGATTTCCATATGAATGCAATCTCGAAATTGTCATCAAGGTACCCCTGGAGTGACAAAATGAGCGGGAGTATAATCCTACACGAATTACGTATTTGGGCTCCCAAAGCAGCTAATCAAGCGGTGCTGCTTAACCTCCTCATTGAGTTGATACGAATGAAGAACAAAGCTCTCTAATGCAGCACTGCAGCTTCCGGTTTCCGAAGTAAGTTGGATGACCTTTCGTTGCCAGTCGACGTCCAATATCATAGAAACTCATGGAAACCCAACATGTGTCGGGACAAGCGTTCTCATGCTGGAAGACTTTGAGTTGAGGGTGAACCATGAATAGAGGTAGAACAAAACATCAAATAACGAGTTTTACTGTTTGAAAGGTTGAATCTTGAAGACGACGTGCATGACGTCACTGTCTGTGTCTCGGGCCATTGGGCGTTGTGTATGTGTATGTATTAGGCAATCACAAAAGCGGCGACACTTGATCTCTGGTGACGGGTTGTGTCGGCCAAGAGTCTTGTGACAGTGGTCACGTGACATGCAAGGTGTTCAGTTGCAACAACAGCGTTGTGGCGTTGTATCTGCGGCTTGCACGTGCCCCTGACGATCCATCACTCGACTAGATTCAGTCGGGGTATGCTTCTTAGATCGATTAGTCGCACAGTCAACTGATGGTGTTTTGTCATTTCTGTGGTTAATGAAGGACAGAGGTTACAAACATTGTACGTGACTTTTCATATGTGTAACACTACAACATGTCAAAAAGGAGATGACACTGCTCCGTTTCGAGGATGTGTTCAAACTGTATGTTGGAAATCGTCCATAGGGTTGCTTGAACGTTGTTCATCTGGTTCATTGTGTTTCGAAAGTATGACATTTGCATGCATTTCTGTTGCTAGATTGCTATCTCCAGAGATGTCAACCATGTTCGGGGCATTCTTGCATTTTTAATGACTGCTAATCTCGATCCAAGACTGGTTTGGCTGCCCGAGATGTTTTGACGTGCACAATTTTCTGCTTTAACTGTTATTTATACATGCCTTTTCAAAAAGACTTAGTACTAGTAATTGTTTCTTTACATTTCATATCAGTTTTTATTCATATATTGTTAATTTGTTAGTAGCCTTAACAGTATTCATACCTGCCAGCTGTCACGCCTTAAATTGATCAGTTTTGTCGTAAGAGCGTGACATGAGTAATTCATGTCACGCTCTCACGACAAAACTGATCAATCGCAGGCCACACTGGGTTCACATGAAGAAAGAGAACATTTTGACGACTTAAAATTAAAAAAAATATTTCTGAATACATCGTTTTCAGTGACTTTTCAGAGAATGAAATTTGTAATTATGCGTTCAACGCTGGACCTGGCCGGGGCTGAGGACCTCGGCACCTCAAGCTTTATTCTCTCTTGGGTTGGAAACTCTGCTGTATTAAGGATTCACTTCACGTCTATTTGAATATAATTTGACATTTCGATAAATGTTTTCTCTGTATGCTAAAATAAATCTACATATAAAATGAATTTTAATCAAAACATAAATCATTTTCTGACCACCACAGGCTTTAGAACAGACGGAGTTACCTCCCTTGGGCAGACTACTCACACAGATTCCTCTTCAAGACGTACAGATAGCGAGCGGGGACGATCGTGTATTCAGAGCACCCCCCATGCTGGGTCTGTTTGCCATGGCCGAACTGCCCCATATTCCTGCAGATGGCCCTGTTGTCGTATTTGCACTGGTGACATGACCCACAGAAGTAGTGATTCTCCACCCCGACTTTTGCCCCGACTGGAAGCTTGGCATCAGGGCCACACTTTACAACGGTCCCAGCACACTCGTGTCCTGGGACGAAAGGGATTGTCGCAATCACACGTGCCACGTCGTTCCATTTGTACAAGTTGATGTCGGACCCACAAATTGCCACAGAATCCACTTTGATGAGCACCTCATCGCCTGTTGGTTCGGGCACCGGAATGCTTTCATAGGCATACGACTCTTCTTCGTTCTTCTTTACCAGTGCCTTCATAGTTTTAGGAATGTTGGAAGCCATGTTTCCGATGTTGCAACAAGCAGTGTGACTGGGCTGAAGTGAAGGGCATGTGCTGCCTTCGTGACTGAAGGGTGGACGATGGAAGATAAGTGTGGAAATCCCACCTGCTCAATGCCAAGCGAAGTGGGATAAGGTCGCGTCCTATGGTACACTGTAAGGGACAAAATCGGGATGGCTGAAAACTCGGGCCGGGCCGGGCCATGGCGGGCCTCTCATTATCGGAAACCACACCTACAATTAATTAATGCAACACACACTCATGATACTATGGATCAACCAGAAGCCACAATAACCATAATAACTTTATTACCAGTAAATTGATTAAAACTCAGGAAGACTAGCAGCCAGTGAACGTGGCTGACCAAGGTTACGTCTAAAAGAGGGATCGTTAAACGAAACAGGATTTAAAACGTATACATACTTCAGTCAATCACGATACACATTTCTGTCGGCCGGAAAAAATAATCAACATAATCAACATAATTTCCACCACAAGCGTTTGGTCCGGCTTGGCTCGGGCCGTTAAAAGCACCTTCCCAGATAGCATTCGGACGTTGGCCCAACGTTGGCAATGGTTTTGCCAACATTGCCAACGTTAGATAACGTCCGAATGCTATCTGGGTTAAACCTCACATATCTTGAATATCCTTAGATTAGTATTGTATCTACGTAAATATCACTTTGTAGTGTTACAAAATGCCACATTTAAACATTACTGGTCCGATAAAGTGAGGCCGTTGTCTCTATTCTCAACAAAGACACTGTATCACAAGCGTTTGGTCCGACTTCCCCCGGGTTCTCAAAAGCAATTTAAACGTCGCAGATGTATCCTGGTTTGTGTTTATATCCATAGGCTAGTATTTTATCTAACTAAATATTACTTTGGAATGTTACAAAATGCCACATGTAAAGATCACTGGTCCGTTAAAGTGAAGCCCTTGTTTTTCTCTATTCACAAAACAGCCTCAATCAACGGTGTTAAGTCTCTGTTCGGCCCGACTTTGCCCGTGCAGTCAAAGACAACTTAAACCTCACACATGTATCTTGAAATATGTCTAATTCCATAGACTAGTATCCCATATCTATCTAAATACCTCTTTATAGAGTCTCAAAGCGTACAGTCCGTTTGAGTCCAATTTTATCATTGTACAATTTTGACACAGTTCATTATTTGTTACGAGGGAGGAGTGCAGAGAAAGGGACAGCCAGGTGTTAGAGAAGCACGTGCACAAGTGCCCACCAAGTTATTGATTCATTAGTCTGTGCTGTGCCGTCTCAATCCTTTCTCGCACACCTGGCTGTCCCTTTCCCTGCACTCCTCCCTCGTAACAAATAGTGGACTGTGTCAAAATTTTAATGATAGTTTCTTAAAGAACCATTTTGGTGGAGTCCGGAAAAGTTTCAAATATAAGAAAGCTGTTGGGTATTAGTAAATGATAAACATGTGTACTATTTATATTTATGTGGCAATTTTGTACAATGATAAAATTTGCAATTCATTGGTCCGTTTCTGACTCAAACGCACTGTAGTATTTGAAGCAAACACGTTGCTCAAAGTGAAGCACCTTTTCCTATATATTCTCAACAAAGACACTGTATCACAAGCGTTCGGTCCGGCTTGACCCAGGCGTCGTAAGAGGCGTCGTACGTCTATTCGGGCTTTTACAAAATCAATGAAACATTTGGACTGGGTTGTGACAACTTCGTCTGTTCTATTTGATTATCAATAGAAATTTTGTAATTTTAAATGAATGAATTAATCGATTGATTTACATGAATTTTATTTATCGATATGGATTATTAGACATCGTTAAAGAATATACAAAGAAATTCAAAACGTAGCCATTGCTATCTAAACCTTTTGGCAAAAATATTTCAGTTTTTGGTTCATGAAAGCCCATATGATAAATGTATGATCTGTGATGAAAGTAATGGAGGTTCCTTTACAGTAGCAGTAAATAGGCTACAACTTGATATTATCTGTCGTGTCGGTCACTCATTTCGCTCGTGTCATTATTAACTGCTTGCCTTTTAAAAGATGAACTGACAAACACAAATAAGCTGAGCTCCCCTAACCCCTGATCCACACAGGCAAGCTAGCAGTCAAATATGGAATATTCACGAGAGACTTACAAGCAATATATTAAGTAACAGGATATTACATATACTGTACGATGCATAATCGCTTTAGCTGGAGTATATTATGTTACAGGTTATTTATTGAAAAGTGGTACATGGAGGTGTTTCATAACCTACAGGCTTTGTGTTTGTGAAGAAAGCGAAGCGTCCCTTCACACTTGCTGTGTTCACTACTTGCAGTAACCCATGCTTGTCGGAGGAGGCGACTAACGGGATCGGGTGGTCAGGCGCGCTGACTTGGTTGACACATGTCATCATATCCCAATTGCGTAGATCGATGCTAATGATGTTGGTCACTGGAGTGTCTGGCCCAGACTCTATTATTTACCGACCGCCGCCATATAGCTGGAATATTGCTGAGTGCGGCGTTAAACAACAGACCAAACCAAAATTTGCTGCTTAATAGTAGATGACCTGAAGGGAGATGCCAATGCTTATATTTGACGTGTTATGGACTTGAAGCGTGTTATGTTTCGATCAGAAAGGTGTCCGTACCGACTAGTGGTTGTAAAAGACAGGGAACGTATTATAAAGGCTTTATGAGCAATGGACATGATGGAAGAGCCATTAAAAAAGGCAGAAACGACGTAGAAAATACAACCCAAGAATACATTTCATTTTAGTTTTTAATCACGATGGTGCCCAGATAGTTGCACTTGTCGTCTGCTACATCCTTATCAGTATCAGAAACTACATGATTCATCCTCCCAACGCTGGACGATGCTTCCTTGTGTTCCTGTCGTCCTCCTCGCTCCAAGGCTGTAGCGTAGAGAAAGAGGATGGAAACGTGACGGACAATATTCCTACACACGATTTAAAGTTATCCTGATGGCTATGAACATTACGCTATCAATATAATGTATTGTTGATGTAGACAATAATATTACTCTGTTCAAGAAGGCTTGACGAGGTAATCTCTGCGATTCATTATGAAGAACAGTTTACCAATACGATTCCATTATGAAGAAGTGTTCACCAATATCTGACCGTTGTGCCTTGTACACTATATCGGGGTGCATTGTCGGAGAGACGAAGTACAAAACGATATTTGGACATTTTCAATTAATTGGTTGTACGATGTTCTCCAAATTTCAGCTCCGTCAAATATTTAGAAGACGCTTACTGATAGACATGAGTAGTGTGTTGTTTCCTTGAGGTGGAACGCCATTGCGGAATGGTTTATTCCACAACTTGAGAGTGAAAACTGTTACTGGAAAAATCTCCATTTGCTCCCACTCGAATTAAGCTGTTTCAGACATTTCGTGGTTTACTCTGGCGAGTATTATGAAAAGTCAATAAAGCTGCAGTAAAATCTGCTCTTCGTCTTTGCGATGTATGTATATGTGTGTTGAGTAGCTTGAAGTGTAACACCAATACCATTATCTTTGACTTAAATCAAGTCCGAACGGAACTTACTTCTATACCATCACTAGAAATAAAGGTTTCTGGTATAGGTACAGACATCGTGAGAATTTGCCAGGGACAATAGACGATATAATACATGTTCAGTTGAACCAATGCACTCGGCCAGAAAGTTGAAGCTGTGGAAAGGCAGGTAGCAAAAACTGTGATATCGGTGGATTCGAAGCGTTCAGTAGATCACCATAACGATGGATTGCATGGAGTGCATGAACAATCCGACACAACGTTTGATGCATGAAACTATAACGTAATCAACATTCTCAAGGAACAGTTGAAAACGAAACTTGACAAAAATATCATTTTACGTGGGCATCGGATCGACGGCAAGAAGGTGACGTGTACAGTAAACTATCAACATGGGTTCATTCTAATGCATATTATGAAAGGATCCTGAAGAATAATTCTAACGGAAATATATACTAGCAGCTGGGATCGATCAGGCATTTCGCAGAGTATGGGCCCAAGTGCCTATATGGCCTTCATTAACCGTCTAACTCATTCCATGTACAGACGATGCAACGCCGTCATCGATGCCCATGGAGGCCACACACAATACTGACTTTGAGGTATCATAATAGTACCATTTCTGGTGATTTTGTTTGTGTGAACTCTAAATGTGATTCCCGAAATTGTGTTAACCATAATTGTCAAGTTTGAACTCAACCCCCCATTTTGACAGTTAATTAGAGCCAATTAAAGTGTGTGCTTTAAGAAACCTCTATCGGTGTGGCGTTTCTTTTGCGGTTCAGTATATATTGAGTATTTAATAATTGGTTAACATCTGTATGGTCTGTGTAAAGACATGCCCTGTCAGGCAACAACTGTAGCATGTTGTTATGATCCATAGGCTTCGTTCACACAATAAAATGCATCAGCGAGAATGGACGTTGTAGTTCCTGCAACTTTAGGGATTGGCGAACTCCCCATTTATACGAATACTGGAAGAGGTGACGGTCTTTTTGTATCATATGTAAGTCAAATTATGAAGACGAATTTCACTTTCTCTACATATGTCCCGTGCACTTTGATATTGGTCACAAGTATTTTTCAAATATTCGTTTGTAAATCAATGCTAACTGCCAAAAACGTTCTGTTCAAAATAGTAATATGTCCGTTCTAAAACTTCACTGTTCATTTTGAATACTTTACCTTTTGCATCTAAATATATACCACGTGCATATTTCGCAATCAAGAGGATCTTTCAGGCAGGCGAAATTGCTTTCACTTTTTCTGGTGATTCTAACAAGGAAATTGTTTATTATGGCCGTGGTCTCCAGCAAGCTGACCTTTCTAGGTTGCCTAGCCTACCCAGCAGGTCATCCGAAGGTAAGCAGCGGCATGTATATATGGGTAGAAGGTCGGCGGAAACACAGGATAGATAAGGATCGATGTTGCCGTTAGGAGAAAAGTTGGATTTGACCAAACAATTAACGGTAGCAAAACGTAAATATATACTATATTTATCCCATAGTATATATACGCATCTCTCTCTCAATACAACTTAATGTGTGTCAGCCTGACATGAGCCATGACTCTCTCAGTACAACGTTGTCTCTCCCTTACATGGGCCATGACTCTCTCAGTACAACGTTGTCTCTCCCTGACATGGGCCATGACTCTCTCAGTACAACGTTGTCTCTCCCTTACATGAGCCATGACTCTCTCAGTACAACGTTGTCTCTCCCTGACATGGGCCATGACTCTCTCAGTACAACGTTGTCTCTCCCTGACATGGGCCATGACTCTCTCAGTACAACGTTGTCTCTCCCTGACATGGGCCATTATTCTCTAGTGGGTAGTCTCTCCCCGACATGGGCCATTATTCTCTAGTGGGTAGTCTCTCCCTGACATGGGCCATTATTCTCTAGTGGGTAGTCTCTCCCCACATGGGCCATTATTCTCTAGTGGGTAGTCTCTCCCTGACATGGGCCATTATTCTCTAGTGGGTAGTCTCTCCCGACATGGGCCATTATTCTCTAGTGGGTAGTCTCTCCCCGACATGGACCAGTATTCTCTAGTGGGTAGTCTCTCCCCGACATGGGCCATTATTCTCTAGTGGGTAGTCTCTCCCCAACATGGGCCATTATTCTCTAGTGGGTAGTCTCTCCCCGACATGGGCCATTATTCTCTAGTGGGTAGTCTCTCCCTGACATGGGCCATTATTCTCTAGTGGGTAGTCTCTCCCCGACATGGGCCATTATTCTCTAGTGGGTAGTCTCTCCCTGACATGGGCCATTATTCTCTAGTGGGTAGTCTCTCCCCAGACATGGGCCATTATTCTCTAGTGGGTAGTCTCCCCGACATGGGCCATTATTCTCTAGTGGGTAGTCTCTCCCTGACATGGGCCATTATTCTCTAGTGGGTAGTCTCTCCCTGACATGGGCCATTATTCTCTAGTGGGTAGTCTCTCCCTGACATGGGCCATTATTCTCTAGTGGGTAGTCTCTCCCTGACATGGGCCATTATTCTCTAGTGGGTAGTCTCTCCCTGACATGGGCCATTATTCTCTAGTGTGTAGTCTCTCCCCGACATGGGCCATTATTCTCTAGTGGGTAGTCTCTCCCTGACATGAGCCATTATTCTCTAGTGGGTAGTCTCTCCCTGACATGGGCCATTATTCTCTAGTGGGTAGTCTCTCCCCGACATGGGCCATTATTCTCTATTCCGATCATGTCATAAGTATGTGCTCATGAGTCGCCATGAAAATATGCTGATACCACGTGGGCGTATCCTGCCCCAGCCGTCATAAACACACACAAAGGCTGGTCAATTGTTCACCTAAAAAGATCATGATGATGTTGGTCCCCTGATTAAAATATGGTGAGGTCATGCTCTTCGTGTCAAACGTCCTTGGGATAACTACTGCCATACAATATTCACAGAGTATAAGCCACACTTATGCATTTTCAAGTCTTGAAAGCACAAGATAATAAACATGAAAGCTGGATATTGGTGCGAGTACCACTAGTGCTTGTGATGTGCTTCAGAGGAATATTCAGCTGACACATAACAGCTTCCTTTCAAAGACAGTTGACTGGCGCCCGATACATAAATCTGCAACTGAGAAACAGAGGTTCACACTATTTATTTCCTGCAACAGTTTGAGATGTATTTTAGAACTACAGTGTATCCCATTTTCGTGCCATTGATCAGCATTCGCTCGAAGATTGATGAGGTGGAGTTTTACAAGAGTTTAATCTTGAGATAAAACCTTTCAGGGTTCAAGGCGACATGACTGCGGCTGCTCTCTATAACGTCCTTCATTTACAGGTGCTTGTCATCCAGGCAGCATGTAATGTGTGTTCCTTCAATAGAGTGTGTAGTGTATACTGGAAGATACCTACTGTACATTAACTCTCCACTGCGATCTGCCCTGAAATGGGTGAAATATCACTGGTAGCAGTTGTCAGCAAATGGATGACGTGCAAGCGAAAGGTCGAGCTATGGTGATTAGTGAGTGGAGTTGAGAGTTATCTGTCCATGGATTTTGTTTATGAACATATGAATGTTCGTGAAGTTTTGCGAAGGTACAACAATCTGACCCATACACATACGCACATAATTACCCGAAACTGCGTTGAATAATATGTATTGTCTGAAGTGATTTTTTAGTGATATATGAGTGGCGGTATGATCTAGTAGTGCTGTCGTCAGAGTTCTGACGTAACGTTACGTCGCCGTTTGGGCATTTCCCAACAATGCATAAACAACAGCACGCCCAGTTTCTGGAACACAATCACCAATTGGAAAACACTCATATCTGTGCGACTTATATTGTTTGAGGATCCATGGTACAAGAATCCGAGATCCAATTAAAACAATGAAATCCTCCATTTTCTTTCGAACACCCCTCTCATAAATAAAAATAGTTCATAAAAAGATAAGTGTTTTCGGTAGAAATATAAGGTTTCAATATTGATGAGAGAAAAAACACTTTGTCTGCAATTGCGAAAATACTAATATTTATTGTTTCCGAACTGATGGACAGGATATATATATCTATCAACAAAAGACAGTTTGCTTCACAAGAACACCAGCGAATGTGAACAAAACATTCAGATGGTCAAATGAGCGATTTACATCAGTCGTGACAACTACCAACATCGCACAGTACACCCTCGCCTCTCCTATAGATGACAATTTCATTACCGACATCACACCAAGACTGGAATGTCGAATTTGAGTATGTCCACTCTCTCATGTAATGAAAATATGCCCAAAAACCCTAAAACATATTGCAAAGTGTACCTGTCGACCCACTCCGTTGACCACGGAGTGTCGTTTTCCCTGGACCATCAATACCGCCACTTTAACTACAGGTACAGCTGCAAGGCATCACGTGTGACCCTGTAGGTTGTATCAACGGGGACAACACCCTTGTTCCTGTTTCCGCTAGTGATGTACTGTGATCATGGGGCACATCGAATGCAGCCTCGCAGGCCTGTAAGTTAAACCAACTAGATATATGTGACCAAGATGAGGGAAACAACACAGTGAACATATGGCACTATTTACTTCGTGTTGGAACACTATCAAACAATATTCATTTCATAAACGGCGTGAGAGAAATCACAAGAAATTGTCTGAGACAGATGCAATACCGGCATATATACCGAAGTGATCACAAAAGCAACAGACTGGTGATGTAATAATTCTATGAGATAATGTGGTCACATTGACGTTATACATATTGCTTGACGGACGCTGCAGGAGTCACTACCAACACACAAGTGTCCCGCCACAGCTGTGTATGCTTGCATCTGTTTTGCCCTGTACATAGTACACTGCACACTGTACACTGTGCTGTCGTCTCGGGCGCTGGACGAAGACGGTCCTCCACCAGATACTGTTCACTGAATCACGACGGTCTGGCGGTCCTCAAATTCACAGACAAACTCACAAAGATACCCATGTCCCAAATTATTTACCGTAATATGTCTCCAAGGTTGTTTGGTCGTGGTTCAGATCGTTGACGTTGGTCAGCTCGTAGCCGTTGCTTGTGACTGCAGTCCTGCTGATGCTCATGGAACGTGAGTGTTTGTAAAGCTTGTGGAATATGCGCAGCAGTACCTTGCGGAACTTCCGGCCGAACGCAGTGTAGATAAGGAAGTTTACAGCAGAGTTAAGGACAAACAGAAAATTGCTCACAGCCAGCCATTTGTGAAACAGATGAACTTCAAAGATATCGAATTGCGCTAGTAGGCCGGGTGTCTGACAGAAAATAAACACCACAACAATCAGTACCAGCACCAGACTAAGATTAGCTTCGTTATCATCCTGGTTATGTAGGCCTGAGCGCCTTTGCTGCATCCTCATAAGTTCCTGTATGATGAATACATTGAGGATGAACAGCACCCCCAGCGGCACCACGTAGATGATGATGCAAAACATGATGTAGCCGTACACGGTCTTGTAGGACCACGTGTTCCCCAGTTCCGTGTCCGCCAGGTAGAAGCAGGCTTGACCATGACTTTTCTCAGCCTCAGAACACTCCCGAGCGTGAGTAGCAAACATACGGGGGATGTTATAGCCGATGGAGACGATGACAATGACGATTATGACAACGAGCGCCTTTTTCTTGGTGCAGATCCGTGCGGCTCTGAATGGATGGCAGATGGCAATGTATCTCTCCACCGACACCGATACAGTGACCCACACGTTGACCGCCTGCAGTGACATCATGATGAAGTTGAGGGGAGTATGGATGGGTGGGTAGATCACCTCCCGGTAATACACAAGAGACTCCGACTCCAGATAGTTGGAGCAGGCGAAGGGCGTCAGAGCGATGACAGACATGAGCAGGATGCCAGTATCGGATACTACAAGGGCTCGCAGATAGAAGATTGTAGGCGACTGCATTTCCCGTCTCCATAGCACAACCATGGTCAGAATGTTCCCGACGATACCCGATAAGGCAACGAGGGGCAGCAGGATGCCCCAGAATATAAACTGCCACAGAAACGGTTCCTGTGACCCTCCCTCGTCCTGGATGTACGAACCCCCGCCATAGGACAGGTTGATCCTCAGGTTGATTTCACCCAGCGACATCGTGGTGGACAGGCTCAGGTGGAAACAATGGAGAGCATCTCCGTAGACAGCAGGGCAGCGCCTTGTGGGATCACCTGAATAACACACAACATGACACTGGTGAGGTAGGAACATAACTCATTTACAAAGTATTGTCAAGATATGCAAAGTTCTAAGACATTACTGTGGAGATATGTGTGGAGCAGTCGGAGGTTCGCCCGTGATACTTCCATTGGACCGGGGCAGGCTTGAAGTAACGCATCGTTTGTAACTATAACCAGTGCTTGACAATATTGATCCTTGAATCAGACAATTAACCAATATATGATCTGTCATCTACATTCCTGCAGACTAAGATAGCGTGGCCTGCACCACACGGTCAGGTTGCTAAGGCCCGTGTCAAGCTGCTGAAAGAGTTGGTACATTAGTGTCATTCATAACCAAATGAGGAAATCTGTTCATTTATGAAGACCCGTTTAATAAAAGAATAATACTTATTAACACAAAGCTCATGCCCCATAAAACACAGGCCATGGGGACAGACTAGATATGTTGAATATCATATTACGCTCAGTGGGTACACTCATATCAAAGGGTCAGGCATATAGAGCGCAAACATATCAGCGATAATTTGTAATTCAGAAATTATACTAACGGACATTCTACAATGATGAAATGTGTGATGATGTTAAGGGAGACGGACACCCTACAATGATGAGATGTGAGATGATGTTAAGGGAGACGGACACCCTACAATGATGAGATGTGAGATGATGTTAAGGGAGACGGACACTCTACAATGATGAGATGTGAGATGATGTTAAGGGAGACGGACACTCTACAATGATGAGATGTGAGATGATGTTAAGGGAGACGGACTCTCTACAATGATGAGATGTGAGATGATGTTAAGGGAGACGGACGCTCTACAATGATGAGATGTGAGATGATGTTAAGGGAGACGGACGCTCTACAATGATGAGATGTGAGATGATGTTAAGGGAGACGGACGCTCTACAATGATGAGATGTGAGATGATGTTAAGGGAGACGGACGCTCTACAATGATGAGATGTGAGATGATGTTAAGGGAGACGGACTCTCTACAATGATGAGATGTGAGATGATGTTAAAGGGAGACGGACACTCTACAATGATGAGATGTGAGATGATGTTAAGGGAGACGGACGCTCTACAATGATGAGATGTGATGATGATGTTAAGGGAGAGGGACACTCTACAATGATGAGATGTGAGATGATGTTAAGGGGAGACGGACGCTCTACAATGATGAGATGTGAGATGATGTTAAGGAGACGGACGCTCTACAATGATGAGATGTGATGATGATGTTAGAGGACTGAGACGGACTCTACAATGATGAGATGATGAGACATCATGATGTTAAGACCAGAAACGGACTCTACAATGATGATGTGATGAGATGATGTTTCTACAATGGGAGACGGACCTTAACAAAATGATGAGATGTGAGATGATGTTAAGGGAGACGGACTCTCTACAATGATGAGATGTGATATGATGTTATGTTAGAGATGGGAGACTCTCTACAATGATGAGATGTGATGATGATGTTAAGGGAGACGGACGCTCTACAATGATGAGATGTGAGATGATGTTAAGGGAGACGGACGCTCTACAATGATGAGATGTGAGATGATGTTAAGGGAGACGGACGCTCTCTACAATGATGAGATGTGAGATGATGTTAAGGGGAGACGGACACTCTACAATGATGAGATGTGAGATGATGTTAAGGGAGACGGACTCTACAATGATGAGATGTGAGATGATGTTAAGGAGACGGACACTCTACAATGATGAGATGTGAGATGATGTTAAGGGAGACGGACACTCTACAATGATGAGATGATGTTAAGGGAGACGGACTCTCTACAATGATGAGATGTGAGATGATGTTAAGGGAGACGGACTCTCTACAATGATGAGATGTGAGATGATGTTAAGGGAGGGAGACGGACTCTACAATGATGAGATGTGAGAGATGATGTTAAGGAGACGGACTCTCTACAATGATGAGATGTGAGATGATGTTAAGGGAGACGGACTCTACAATGATGAGATGTGACAATGATGAGATGTGAGATGGAGACGGACTCTCTACAATGATGAGATGTGAGATGATGTTAAGGGAGAGACGGACTACAATGATGAGATGTGAGATGATGTTAAGGGAGACGGACGGACTCTACAATGATGAGATGTGAGATGATGTTAAGGGGACGACGGACTCTACAATGATGAGATGTGAGATGATGTTAAGGAGATGTGAGAGACGGACACTTTACAATGGTGAGATGTGAGATGATGTTAAGGGAGAGGACTCTCTACAATGATGAGATGTGAGATGATGTTAAGGGAGACGGACTCTCTACAATGATGAGATGTGAGATGATGTTAAGGGAGGCGGACTCTCTACAATGATGAGATGTGAGATGATGTTAAGGGAGAGGGACCCTCAGCAGTGACCAATGCCAATATTGGGCCTCGGTGTGCTGGTATTTGAAGAGTCTGGACTATGACAAGCAGTCACATACAGACACGAACTTTAAACCGATTCTGCTGTCCGTACACGGCGATCAAACTAAGATTTTTTCGATGATGGTTGTCCACCATTTACATACCAGTTCTACACTATTGTTTCCAGTAAAAATATGTGATATATAATACAAACACATTCAATCTTTCCTGTGTAAAATTAAATATCGTTTTCGAAATTGTTCCTTGGAGCTTGGGTCTTAATACATTTCAAAACGCTGTGAACTACAGTATGCCCGGGGTCCCTTCCCATGCACCATGTTTTAACCAGTAAGCTTGCAGCACCGACTACAGTTTGTTCTAGACGTAATTATTGATACTCAGTGTTCACACGCTACTTCAACGGAATGAACTTGCTGTGCTACATGAAGGCAAGTGAGGTGGATAATCTGGGAAGACCAGAGTAAATTTATCTACTTATGAAATTCAATACCACACAGTCTAGTATTAATCTGCATGATATCCCCCTGTAGTTCACTTCTTCGTTACTACATTCCGGGAACACTTTAATTAATCCACGCCATTCCTCTGTAACAGAAACATGTAACACGGGAACTTCTGATTTCCTGACAGAGACAATTCCTTGTTGGTGTGTGGGTTCTTCAATTACATGAACACGTTGATTACGCGGACGCATGTAGTAATAGTCCACTCGGAGAAGGCATTGATTTGAGAGCAGTGAGCTTCAAGAAAAGCCCCAGCGGACGTGCTATCTCCACACAGTGACTAGTGGCTATCTACCGGCCGGAGCGTGCTCCATACTTTCTAGTAACTGTACAATTAAACATTTAAAGCGGGAACTGATGTGAAGTCAGTCAGTGTTGTATAAGATGATAAACGTACGATAGAAAAATCAAGCATCGACCCCTTACTCCAAGCCTAACATCGGTAACGTCATTATTGGAAGTAAATTGTACACACACTCATGTAATAGCTCATTCCTCAAATCATAATTGAAACAGTGCCTTATTACAGTCAGACCATTATTGACAAGCAATCCCCTAAAGGCCCTTGTAATCATGTCCAGACGGGGCTGAAACATTAGTAATCCAATCAGAAAAACCAAGAGAGGTGAAGTAACCCGTTTAGCTATGCATAAATATTTACATTAACCCTAGCTCGAGGCTTCAGTTCACAGTTGTCGCCTCATTCGTGCCTCAGACCACAAATATTGTAACATGGCTGACAGCAGACATACGTCATCGTAAAAACAATTTATAGAAAATACAGAGAAAATCACGCCTGGCTTAAAGGTACCTAGACGGTTGAGTATTTAGTAAACAGTAAATTGGCATATCAAGGAATGTTTCATGAGATCATGGATGTTCCTGTAAGGTTGTCTAATTCATTAAAGTATTATGACAAGGCGAGCCGGCTGTGTAGCGCACACACGGATCGATTGGCGAACTGAATGTAAAATGTTGTAATTAATCATTAATTATTAATACAAAGGTTGCACAAAATGTCACTTGAAGGTAGGGACATGTTGATGGCTTGTTAAAAGGTAGGGACATGTTGATGGCTTATCCTGACCTGTAACATATGTTATATTTGGGATTACACTTTCTTAGTAAAGAACAGATTCTTGTACTTTTGTTGGGTTGAGTCCCAAGTGTAATGCAATCCCAAATATAACATATGTTACATTTGACCACTCTCTGAATGGCATTGTGATAATCTTAGCCTGACCTGTTGCAAACATGATAAATTATTCTAATGATTCCAACATGATACATTATTCCTAAGCTCGTCCGTCATACGTCATGCCATGTTTTGGTGAGTCCTACACAGTCATCAGGTTATGGTGACAATGTAAAGCTCCATCCACCATCCAGCTGTGTGGCCAGGTGACATCGACTGCTGGCGCACTGAAACTTTACCTCGAAATAGGACACTTTTACGTATCGATCTTCGATTTGTTATCTGTACATGGCTCACATTTTTATTTAACGGATAGGATAATAACATGTGTAACATAATATGTACACAGTGTAAATCCATTTATCATTTGGAACTATACGAATGTGTAAGATCAGTTTGTCTTAAGTTAGTCGATTTGTTTAGAAGAGATAGCACGAGTAAAGCACCAACATAGTCATCTGATAGAAGCTCCAGGAAATGTAGTCTGTGTTCTTATCAAGTGCCTGTCTCAGAGTCAGTCAGCCTCGTGCAACGGATGGAATGTCGAGTCAAATGCTTCCATAAATTTATTAGTTATCAGATTTCTTTATCTTAATGGACATTACAGACAGCGATAGATCTATGAAAGGCGTTAATTGTACAGGTAATAAAGTTTCAACTACCCAGTCGCACAGGTCCGTTAGGTTGCCTCCATCAATGCGCACTACTCAGTTGTGTCTTCATTCGGTTGCAGACTTCAACTTATAACAGGGAGTACAATACCTTCTCCTCATCAAATTTCTCGCGGCAGGCGGCCGTGCTGCTCTCAGTCGGTGGTAATTGAGCAAAGTTTATTGGTGGCCTACTGATTTTCGGACTGCACATGCTTAATCAGT